TATATATCGTACCATCAAGTGAAATAGCTAAATTACCAAATTTCAAGGAAAATTCAAAAAGGAAAGTCCTTTATCAAATGGCAAAATCAAAAGCTGAAACACATTAAACGAATGGTAAACAACTGTCATATTGTATACAGTATTAAAAACAAATCAATCTTATTGAAAGCAAGTTCCGAGTTCGTCACATGCTGATTGACAATTTTACAAGGCTTGGCCATGATATCGGTTTCTTTATTTCAACGAATATTTACTTTTATCTAATTGGTGAGGATTGTTACTTTCGGAGTATGTATACACAGTTTGATTATGACAGGGGAATTTTCAGTTTGACAGCTTCAGACATACATGTTTTACCTTTTTCAATTAGACCAAATCTCAACTTTAATTCAACATTAAGTACCAACCTTTTTTTGCAGGTATTATCATCCCCTACTTGCTGTTTTATGCATAATATATAAAAAAGAAATTTGGAAGGTTTCTAAAAAATTTGCAAGTTCAACATTGTCAAAACTAGGGACAATATTTGTAGAGTACAAATACCAAAGGATAATAACTGTGTCCCCGCTCCTAAATAGGAATGACAGTACAAAGGTTAAATAATTGCCACAGTCAATTTGGATTTGACGGTAGCAAATATCCGTTTTCAATTGACGGTAGAATCTCCTGGACTACTGTTCTGGTAGTCCTTAGATATATTGCAATCCACAAATAAGAGGTTGTTTGTGAGATACAAAATTTCAAGGAGCTTATAATTCGAATTCAAATAAGCTGGTTAAATAGCTCTTTTGAGGCAGTGTCACTCATAAAAATAGGCTATTTCTTGCATTTCATAGAAGGGTTAATTGACCAAAATCAAAAGTAATCATAACTAAAATAATGACTAGATAGGAAATATTTTTAGCTGAAAATTTACATTTTAATCGTTCTTTTCAAGACGTCACAAATGTTACAGATTTTTTTTCCACAAATGTTCCATGAATAAAGGTAAATTTCTAATTGATTTTAGTAAAAGAAACATAATGTGCTTGTGTCAACAAAGAATATTTTAGCATATATTTGATTTTGTCAACTATCACCGTAATCTGTATTTTTGGCTTATTTGGGGTGTGAATATTAGTGCTTGGTGAGAAAAACTTGACAAAAATAAATCTTTTTCAATTTGTTGACATGTCTTTTTACCAACTTGACACAATGGACTTCACATTCGGGACCAAAGAAAGGCTGAAACAAAACTTACTCCTTTTTCAAAACAACAAAAAAGAATTTGAAAGTTGGGATTCATTAATTCAAGTTAAAGCAAGCCTGTCACAACCAATAATTTGTACGATAAAGCAATACACTTTTAAATGCAGGTTTTTCGTAAGAATTGTTTCGGTCACATTTAAGTGTTTGTAATTAGGAACTTGCCAAAAGATGTATGAATATTTATTGAAATATTGTTAAAAACTTTCTTTTTTAATTTCTTACATATCTTTACATCAACTTGAAACATTTTCTTATCTTGATACTATGGACATAATATTCGTGTCCAAATAGTGTTTTTGCAGAACTTGCTCTTTGAAATACTTCGCACAACATGTATGACAAAACGCACTATACTTTAAAATAAAACAATCTTTACCTAATTTTTTAGGGTCGAATTTAATTGTTTATAATTAGGAATTTTTGTTTATGACTATTCAAAAATATCATTGTGACGAATAAAAGAGACACATTTGCATAACTAGATAAATATAAAAATAACATTTATGTTGTGTTTGGGTTTCTAATTGACGTTTGCAAAAACCGATAGAAATTACAGTAATACTGGGTTAATTCTTTTAAAATCAAAGATGGATATGTACGGTAGTTTTACTCGCATATTTTTAGTGAGTTTTAAAGATAGTGATTGATTGATTTATTGGTGTTTAACACCACTTTCAGCACTATTGTGCTATTTCGTGACGATCAGTTGTTATTGATGGAGAAAGTCGAAGTGACCGGAAAGAACCACCGACCTTCGGTAAGAAAACTGACAATCCTATTCAAATAAGATTGAAATCGAGGACATCTACCACGTCCGGGATTCGAGTTCACTGTTGGCAGGCTAGTAATACCGTAGTTCGACCACTTAGACCATTATGCCACTGAGGCTCCTGTAGTGAAGATACAATTATGGTCAAAGTACCCTTGACAACATAGAAAACGTTTTACAAAACCAGGAAATATGTGTTAAATGTACAGTGTTGGTATTTGCAGTGTGCATTATTTTGATTCGACTACTTCCGAAGAGAGGATGTATTACGGAACTGTGACGATTGATACTTATTGCCTTCATTTTAGTGTATAAATGCATAAATAACTATTTTGCTGCGCAGACATTCTATGAATGGTTATGTATTACATATATAGACTTGATACAACATATTGTAAACAGACCATCCTAAAAGTAAATTGTTCATGTTGCAGAATGTTCTATCGAATTCGGGAGATATTTGTCATTTTAAAGATTTTCATAATAAATTAATATGGACTTAAATATTGAAATACATGACATGGTGTGAAGGGATCCCAAATTTTGCTTTGGGTTTGAACAAAATATCGGCAGGTCAAAATAATGCTTATAAGATTGTCATGTTCAAATTACATGTTCTTTAACTGAACAAAAACTTTGACTATATGTCACATAACTTTAAACGTTGGCATGTGAAGCTCTATGAATCTGTTTTAAATTCTTGAAATCAGAAATATGACAATAACAGAAGACTAATTTTATTAATGTGTTTTCGCTGTTTAAAAAATCTTTTTCTTCTTTTAAGTGATCTTTTAAAGAGTTACTAAATCTCCTGTCAACCATCTAAAAGCTATTAACCGATTTCTATTTTAAAAACCTACAGGAGCGCCATGTTTAGCATGTTGGATTTATTTAGAATACTCGTTTTTGACTTTTATGACTATTGGGTCTTAATCAATATAGAGTTAATGATCTATTTTTTTTTAAATATTTGAAGATCGGAATGTAATGGTTACTACTCTTCCAAATATAATTTTAAACATTGACAGTATTGTAAAAAATACAATGGACAGCAAATGAAAAAAAACTGCTATCGACTTGCAGTGCTTTGCTGTTGAATCTGTAAAAACTAAATTGATTTTTTTTTATAATAGAAATGTTTCTAAAACAACAATGTAGGTGCAAGAATTTTTAAATCAAATAGGTATCCAAAGTTGACGTTGAAACATTTCAAGGTATAATGGAACCTCAAAATATGAAATTGTGGTTTTATTTATATATTTATCTTAAACTTAATTCTTTTAATAATGTGAATTTTTACTTAGGGTTTTATCCCAGATTTCAAGTACTCACGATTACTGAACATGTAACTGTGATAGTGGTAGCGGGGCATTTTGTGAATGTCCTTTGGATGTGTGTCTCGAATTCTTCAAATTTTATTCACTCTAAATGATCCATTTTTTATATGTCAGCACCCATATCATTGACTTATCTTAATCTGTTTCACAATTATTAAGTATATTCATTAAACCCCATTCCAGACTCTCATGGATTTTCTCCCTTTGGTGTTGCTTTATACATGCCACCGGATTTTTTCTTACTGTTAATTACATAATTTTCAAAAAGAACTGCAGTCGATGTCTCAATATGCCAAGTTCATGTCGGATAGGCGGTACAAGTAGTGACAGTAGTATTTTTATCAATTCTTCTGTCCATATGATTAACATCGATAAGTATGATGATTCGTTACGATGCGGAGACATTTTCACATGTAAGGTAAAATTTTCGAGGAAATAAGTGAGATTCAATTTTCCGTTATTTTTGAAATCCATTTAATCATTGCTTCAACGACGACAACAATCCTATTTCCACACAATTAAATTCTCTAGCAATCTTTCCTTTTACAAACATTCATAAATCCATAGTTGGTCAATCTAGGTTATTGGTCAACCAATATGTGTTTACATATTATATCTATGAACCTCATTCGTGATATTGACCTAGATGCTTGAAAGACAAAAAATCTTGCTTATTGTATTGGCAAAGAAAGATCGTCAAGATCCCTTTTAATTACTGAATTTTTGGAGGCTCTGTCTAAGGTACTATCCCTTGTGTGTCGATGATTTTGATTTTTTTTCTCAGGTCAAATAATTTGTTAATCGTGCAATATTAAAAAAGCAAATTATTTATGGCAATAAAAAATGACAAATTGTTTTTAAATTTTTCAAACAATGATGTGTTTTTTTTTTTATTTTTACCTATTTCCAAATGAACCCAACAATTTCGGAAACAATAATGAATAAAATTTGTGTATAAAAAAGCCTTCACCTTCCTAAATAAAGAGGCATAGTGTGTGTCTACGTTTTTATATTGTATGTGTTTTGTTGTCTATTATTTGAATACCAATAAAGATGTGTGTTTTACATTTTTTTTTCATATCTGCCTTCTTTTGCTCTACTATACAAGTTGCAAGGGTGAGTACAATTGGAATAAAATAGGTTTAATATCGCCATATTTCTATGAGCCTTTTCGTAATCCGGAACGTTATCATTTATTGCAATTGACTATGATCTGCTGCATTATAATTTTTTGGCAGTACTTTTGTTGGTATATCTATTTCCTAAATTCCTATATGGATCTACAACCTACATTATTGGAAAGAAAAAGTAAAAACACTAAAGTTTGTGTTGAATCTCAATATTCGGGATTTGATTTTTACTGGACAAAGTAGTTAAAAAAAGTTTGACTCGTTAGATAAGCGATAACAATCAATTAAATGTCATGTTAAGCATGTATCCGGAAAAATGCATACACTTCTTGAATTGGCCTTAAAGCCAAATCCTCGATGTAATAAAGTTTTAAAATAGAATTAAGTAGACTTTCGTTATTACACTTTGATATCAGCCAACAAATGCTAATATGTACCTTAGTTGTTTTTTTTTTATTTTTTTTTTTATTTATAACCAGTAAATTGTTGTTTAATGTCTTCTTTTTCGTCTTCTAGACATGTTAGAGATTCTTGCATTTGTGCCTACATTTTCAAAGCTTCGAGGCAGTCCAAATGATGACTGGATAGACCGAATGTCGCATGTTTATACAACATCGATATTGATCATCTTCACAGTTGCAGTCAGTTCAGGTCAAATTTTTAAACATCCAATACAATGTTGGGTTCCGGCAGAGTTCGAAGAATCGATGGAGTGGTATACAGAGTACCATTGCTGGATTAAGAATACGTACTACGTTCCCATGCTTGAAGAAATCCCGGAAAATATTTCCGAACGTCAGGATGCAGAAATAACGTATTACCAGTGGGTTCCTTTGATTTTGCTTTTCATGGCAGTCTTATTTAAATGTCCAAATGTCGTTTGGAGAATATTTAACGACGGATCTGGAATGAATCTAGATCAAATGGTACTCTTCGCAGAACAAACTCAACTTGGATCGCCAAAAGATCGCAATAAGTCTATAAAATCTCTGGCTAATCTTATGGACAAATGGTTGGACTCCAACGTTGAAAAGAACTTAACCTTTATTAACAGGAAAAAGGCTGGGAAGTATTTAACAATTCTTTTCCTTTTTGTCAAGGTCTTGTATGTTTTAAATGCATTTGGACAAATATTCCTTTTGAACGCTTTCCTTTCTACTAAATACAGCTTTTATGGTTTTGATTTTTTCGAAAACTGGAAAAGCAATAGACCATGGAGAGATTCCCCAAGATTTCCAAGAGTAACCTTATGCGATTTTCAAATTAGACAGCTCCAGAACGTACAGAGATTTACTATTCAATGTGTTTTACCTATCAACCTATTCAACGAGAAAATTTTCATCTTTATATGGTTTTGGTTAATTTTCATCACTTTTTTGGCAGTATGCAATCTATTCATGTGGATTTACTTGGTCATACTGAACACCAACAAAATACAGTACTGTAGAAAGTATCTGAAAATGAATCACGAGCTCCATAAAAAGTTTGATAAAAAACTTTGCCGCAAGTTTGCAGAAAATTACATGCGTGATGATGGCGTTTTAGTGCTGCGAGTTATTGCGAACAATGCGTCTGATTTGGTCGTGAACGATCTCGTTATGGAGCTATGGAAAATATACAAAAACAAGAATGATCAGAATACCACGACAGGTGAAGATGCCCCACTATTGAATCCAGTTGTTAAAACAAACCTTTGAATAATGAGAATAATCAAATTTCCCAATGCAATACATATTAGGCTTGTACTTCTGTAAAAAAGAAAAATGTTTTCGCTCGATAATCTATGAATTTTACTATTTAGTGTATTAATTGATCTATGACAGCAATTGTCTTACAAACTTTAAACATGCAGTGTCTTATAGCTGTTTTATCCGATTAGTTCAGCAAAATGACAAGATGCTCAATTTTATTTACATCATAAATTGTTAACAGCAAATGCATGGAAATTAATACATAACGATTTCTAATTTTATAAACAGACTTGTACTTTTTATTCTATATTAAGGATGTACTTAGGTCAGGCTTGTGAATTTTTGTCAAATGCTCGGATTCCTTGTTTTTTTTTCTTACGATGCAGGGTAAAATATTTTGCCACATAACACCCATTTTTCTTTTCATATAAGTCTTCAATAGCTCATAAAAGGTCATTTACCAAAATTTAAGCAAATTCTATCTTTCTTTTCTTTCGATTTGAGACTCAAATAAAATCAATGCCAATATAAGGTAAAAGTCCGAGCCAGCCTTTTCCCGCCACATTTAAGAAAATAAATATCTCTGAAAGGAGCTTTTTAAATTTGTCACTTGTAACGTACAAGAACTTTTAATTTGAATCATAGCCAATGTAGTTTAAGTTTTATAGTTTTATAGTTTTTTATTTTATGTTTTAAAAGCTTTACTTTGTTTGGTCACTCACAAGTTGTTTAAAACATTTCAACTATTAAAATGTTACTACATGTATATCAAATCAACATAACAGCTTTAATCGTATACTCCATCTTTGACAGTCGAAAAAAACAAGAAGACCCCAATAGATGTATGGTGAAAATTAGAATTCACTATACTCTCTGTGATTAAAACATATATTTTTCTCATACTATGACTCACATACTATTTCACTCCGGGTGTGGAAGAGACAAAACCGGTACCTTAAAGATTTATTGTTTTATTTTTCAATACCAACGCCTTTGCGATCAAGGCTCAGTATTTAGAAAATTAGATAAAGAGATCTAAAAAAGCATTAATTAATTCTTCAGTTTCATAAAAGTGTCGAAATTTCGGTTTAGTCGAAGTTTTCTCGTGGTCCCAAACTTTGTTTCATATAAATACTTGTATTTCTACTCCTGATGAGTCGAAATTTCGGATGTCTAGAATTAAATTTACCGTTCCAAGGTTGACAAAATCATTTAATTTATATTCTTTATGTTGAAGCAATACACAAATGTAAAAACATGACTTTGGGGATTTAAATTGATTGTATAACGAGTTTAGTTTGACACTATATACACTTGTTATTACATTTCTCGCTATTGAACACAGTATTGATTAATGTCATTATTTTGTCACGAGTGTTTCCCTATAATTCTATTTGGTTTTCATAAAAATATTTACTTATGTTATAAAAATGTTGCGTTGTTTTCATTTAATATGCATTTCAGAAAGTCTTCTGATTAACTGTTACACATGAATCTGGTGAATGACTCGAGCCTTGTCTCGGGAGGATAGCACGATTTACAAATGTTAATAAATCCAGTGAAAGACCAAGCCTAAAAACTGGGGCATAGCACAGTAACAGACAAAGGCATAAAACGTAATTTATATGCTACAGCATACTAGACTAAGTATGATGCTACTAGTATTATAGCGGCAGAAGAGTCGAGTGGTTAAACAAAAGAACTGTTTCCGATTTTGGCATTCCTTTGTCTGTTGGTCTACTTTTTTAGCCATGACGTTGTCAGTTTATTTTTAACTTATGAGTTTGAATGTCCCTTTGGTATTTTTCGCCTCTCTTCTATATCGATTTCCAAATTATTTTTTTTTCTTTTTCGTCTTTTGCAATGGCGTTGTCAGTTTGTTTTCGACTAATGAGTTTTAATGTCTCTTTGGTATTTTTGCCTCTTTTTTGATAAAATATGAAACCCAATAAAACATGTTAACTCATAATATATTTTGAGCAATTCCAACCCTTTTACTATAAACATGTCGTACTAAACATGGTTCCAGTTAGTTAAAACTGCTGGAATATCCTCTGTTTGAGACGAATATAGTGATCAATGGCTATGAGTCATGGCTATACCAAAAACAAAATTTACTCTAGGATCTATTACACAAAAATGTAGGTAAAATATCTCATTGGGTAAGGCGCATATTTATTTTTAACCGCACCTGTAAACTGAATGTATTTGGATTAATATGTTAATTATAGTTTATAAACAACATTCACATCAAGAAATACATTAACATGCATTTGAAATTGAGATGTGACACATTGTTAGACTAAATTTAAATTGTTTGTTCTTGCAATGTCGTGCATCTGCTGATTTTACAGTTTTATCTATACTAATGTACATTGTATATATGAAATGCATTGCATGCTTGCCATATATATATATATATATAAATATGTATATAAACAAGTCTAAATTGACAACAACGTTCAAACCTATGATTGCGTTGGATAAAAACAGCAATTTGTATACGTGTGCATGCAAAACAAATTTCTTGGTAGAGTGGTCTAAATACAGGACAAACAACATTCTCAAAAAGACCAAGAATGTGAAAAAGTATATTTTAACAAAACGCATTTGACTAGCAGGTCGAACAACGGATGTTCTTGAACCCTGCTGACTGCCATGGCGATTGCCAAATAAACGGATCGCCAGATGTAAAAATGGATCTTAATTATCAATTTAACACCAAACAGAAAACAATAAACTTGCGGAAAAGATGGTATACCGCAAACATGAGGTGCAAAAATTTGTACACCATATCCGGATTTCGACAATTAATGTCTCTTCAGTGATGTTAGGAATCGAAACGGTATTTGGAAGGCCATATAATTTACCTCAATTTGGAATTGACTCTTGAATTTTGAAGAGTCAAAATAGGATGAACGGATCATATAAATCCGAAGGCAAATATAATACAAGCCCAAACGAAAAAATAAAGTCTAAATTGAAAACAACGTTCAAACCTATGATTGCGTTGAACCTTCAACAAAGAGCAAAACTCATATAGGTATAGGTTGCACTTCCGTAAATCCAGACAATGCAATTTCCCATAGGAACGCCCTTTTACGGCTTAAACTGTGCCACTTTTACAATAAATTTTCGTAAAAAATCATATCCTAAAATAGAAAGTTCATATGCACTTCTATTTTTTCATAGGACTATGCGGCATATTTTCAATATATGTATGCCTTGAACTTATAAGAACCTGTATGAAACTACTCTGATAACAAACTGAAAGCATTAAAAGATACTATAAATGTAAAGTTTAATAGATAATCATTCCAACATTCAATATTATATAAAGTATTCAATGCTATCTCTGTCTCCTGTCGACATCTTACTGTACGCCCAGTCATCTATAAAAATTCACAATTTCTTATTAAAATGGTCAATGTAGAACTCTTGTGACACTCATATCATCTCTGAATCCAAAACATCCTATGGTTTGTCTGCATAAAAAGAACATTTTCTTAGGGATGATTGTTTTAAAATCTTATCTAAACTGAAGAAAGTTTCTTTGTTCAGCTGCCTACAGTATACTCCTGTAAAATATTTATATATAATCATCATTGTAAATCTTCAAATATGCTACAATATACAGAAAATAGCGAGAATAAAAGAGAGGCAAAAGATACAAAAGGGACATTCAAGTTCATAAGTAGAAAATAAACTGACAACGCCATGGATATTAAAGAAAAATACAAACAACAGTTCACAAAACACAACATAGAAAACTAGAGACTGAGCAACACGAACCCCACCAAGAACTGGAGGTGATCTCAGGTGCAACGAATGGGTAAGGAGATCCTGCACCATATGTAAACATTGTACAAGATATCACGTAACTCTTTTTAAAATTTGTGTAAAATATAGCAAAAATCAAACATGTAAAGTAATAAAAAAGGTACTAGATATTGTCTGATGGTACAGGTAATTTGGGTTAAAACAGTCAATTCTCATATAAGGATCTGACTAGAATAAATCCCACAAATTAAATGTCATTTCGGTCCGATTTCATGTAAACAAACTCATCATAGATACCAGAATTAAATTTTGTATGCCAGTTGCGCGTTCCGTATACAAAGGACTCATCAGTGACACTCGAATCAAAAAGTTGAAAATGCCAAATAAAATACGAAGTTGAAGAGCATTGAGGACCCAAAATTCCGAAAGGTTTTACCAACATACAGCTAAGGTAATCTTTTCCTGGGGTAGAAAATCCTTAGTATTTCGAAAATTCAAAGTTTTCTTAACAGCTAATTTATAATCAAGACCATATGTTAACACAGAAGTGCTGACTACTAGGCTTGTGATACCCCCAAGAATAAACCTCCAGTGGCAGTGGCATCGACCTAGTAGTTGTAAATAAACTCATCATCATTTTCTTTCTTTAATTTCGAATTCATAATGACAATCTTTATAATTACTATACTTTTGTATTAGAATTGTAATTTTTCGAAGATTGGAAATTTATAAATTATCGTTCAACTTAGTGTTATTTATCCACAATACGAAAAGAATATAAAAAATAAAATCATATAATATTGCATAGCTTTTGTTTTAGAAAATTTACTTACGTTGACACAGTATAAACATAGTCAAGAGAGATCTCACGTAAAATTCTTCCATCAATATTTTCTTTGAGTTATGAATCAGCTTGTTGATGATGTTTCAACTAAAAAGGATTTTATGTTTTATATCAAAGTGTCATTTGTTGGTTTATATATATTTATATGTACAATGGAAGTAACCTGCTCAAGCAGCATATGTTGTTGAAACTGTGAAATCACTAAAAGGAAACGTAGGTATCTTGCTTGTTTTTCCCAAAGGGAACAGTAATGTCATACTAAACACTAAATAGCTTTTGAAAAAGATAAAATATGTTTCCATACTATAGTACCATGGAATTTACAATGTGCAAAGGAAATCGCCATTATTTTAACTGAATATATTAGGGCCCTCAGAATATGAACATTTATGTTTTTAAAAACCTTGTTTATTATAGTGGCATTTAGAGTTTAATGTATGTTGTCGGATTATATCAATTGTTACGAGTCACCGCTTAGATTGCATCGATATAATTCTTATTACAATCATGGCTGAGTTCCTAAGTCGATGTTTAAAGCTTTTCTTTTGTTATTCACATATTAAGTAAATCTTATTCAATTGGTCTGTAGTTATTGACTCGGTACTGACAAGATTTGTAACATACCTTATAATTCGATTCATTCATCCTGATATGGCTGCATCCATGGCTTAGTGCATCATTTGCAAGAGATGGCACAGATGAAACTCCTTGATAGAAAAGAGTATAGCTCTTTCTGCTTTCTTTATAACATTTTCTCTTAATCCTGATATATTTTGTTAGAAATTTTAGAAGTTGCAAGTAAATTTAACAAAGTTTTCAAAATCTATAATGTAAAATTACAAGTTTACTAATATTTTCGCAATTGATTTTTTGGTACAGGCTATTTGAGTAATAACAGGCAAGTGTTATATGCAATGATTGGTACCCTAGTATCACCTCATCTGCTAATTATTAAACCAAAAACTATCAATGTCAACATTTGAAAAAGAGACCGTCAGTAGCTGTTTCTTTCAGTATCATCGACACAACATAAAATGATGTGATATTTGATGAGTGTACAGTGTAGCTGTCTGCCTATCAATATAGATAAACACATCCCTGTTGCAGAAAAGGGAAGGAAAGATATCCCATATGAATTATTCATTAGTAGTAAAGAAAGCCTTTTCGAAATACTTGTATAGCAAAGTATGATTCTAACTGCCAGATTACCTTTAGAAACACGAATAAATATGATTAAACATAGACGACTGTTATCAATTCAAATATTTACAATTTCTC